ATCCCACATGCCGTGGAGCAACTAAGCCCATGTGCCACAATGACTGAGCCTGTGCTTTAGAGTCTGCAAGCCCGCGTGCTCAACTACTGAAGCCCGTGCGCCTAGAGCCCGTGCTCTGCAACAAGAGAAGCCACCACACTGAGAGGTCCGCGCACTGCAACAAAGAGTAGCCCCTGCTCAGTGCAACCAGAGAAAACCCGTGCACTGCAATGAAGACCCAACACAGGCACAAATAAGTAAATTAAAATAAATAAATTTTTAAAAACTTTTTGGAAAGAAATGAAAAATAATTAAAATCGACATCTTTTTTTTTTTTTTCTTGCGTTATGCGGGCCTCTCACTGTTGTGGCCTCTCCCATTTGCGGAGCACAGGCTCCGGACGCGCAGGCTCAGCGGCCATGGCTCACGGGCCCAGCCGCTCCGCGGCATGTGGGATCTTCCCGAAACTGGGCACGAACCCACGTCCCCTGCATCGGCAGGCGGACTCTCAAGCACTGCGCCACCAGGGAAGCCCAAAAATCGACATTTTATATTTTATTTCATCTTCAATTTTCTAACATCCAACACTGAATTAGTAACTCTTTATTTCATTCTGATGTTAGTAGTTTTTAATGTAGATGCTGCAACACAATTTTTTTTCTTAGCCTGGATAGTCTGTATGCCCATTGTATGATGGGCACAAAGCTATTCATGAAAGGTTCATTACATTTCTGTTAATTACATTATCTTTCACAACCTGACTCTCAATGGCCCTGTTTAGGCTTGTTTTTCTTATGCTCCAAATTGAACTGCCTATTTTGCCCAAACGCACCATGTCTGCTCTCCCATCCCTGGCTTTTCTCTCCCACTTCTCAGAACGCCCTTTTCCCTTATCTCTGTCTTTTGCAATCCTGACATTATTCTAGACTCAATTCAGTCCTCAAATTATTCATTCTCTGCACAGCACATAGTCACTAATTGATCTCTTTCTTGTTTGTTTCTTAGTTTGTTTATTGTCTTTCTCTCCCATATAGAATATAAGCCAAGTGAGAACAGGGCCTTTTCTTGTTCACTGCAATATCCCAGTGCCTAGAACAGAGTCTGGGATATAGTAAGTACAGCATTTATTGACTGAACAGACAGATAAGTAGTTATCAAAACAAGTCTAAGATTCAAATATTTTACTGTGAACATACTTGCCACTCGGTTTTGAAAAAGCTCAAAGGAGAGAATAATATAGTAAGATTCTCTATGATTATTCAAAAAAACACCAAACCTTTATATTCCAAAGTATAGGTTGGCACTTCATCTTAATTTAGTGCTATTTTGACAAAGCTGTGAGAATTAAAGAAGATAATGTGATATCGTGACTCAGTCAAAAATAATTTCTAACACCCAAGGCTGAAAGAATTCCAGTTCGTAGGTGCTATTTTCCTCATATGAAACTGTGCTTATTATACCCCATTTATAATCTAACTAAACACATTTTCTTGGTATGCTAATGCTTTATTCAAACCTTCTCTTGATTTTGTCATTTAATTCACAAAGATTCAATTAAGTGAAACAGACCTTAACGTAACTTTGAATGAATTTTTTAACAAGAAGAGACTTTATATTCAAAATAGGTAGTCATTTTAATATTAACCTGTATTTATATAAAATGGAACCAGTGTCATAGTTCTTTCCTCCTTTGACCTAAATTTCCTCCGTGCATTTCTCTCTTTGAGTATATCTCAAGCATAACAAAAAAGAGAAAGGATACACACACACACACACTCATATATGGAACTCTGAAATAAGAAGCTGAAATCACTAAATCTTGAATAATGCAAGGTGAAGTGTGTTTCTCAGTGGAAAGCACAGGGGCTCTTGAGTACAGGTGCTACTATTTTTTTTAAAGACATTTACTTTTTTAAAATAATTTATTTTTTGGCTGCATGGGGTCTTTGCTGCTGCACGCAGGCTTTCTCTAGTTGCGGCGAGCAAGGCTACTCTTCATTGTGGTGCGTGGGCTTCTCATTGTGGTGGCTTCTCTTGTTGCGGAGCACGGGCTCTAGGTACACGGGCTTCAGTAGTTGTGGCTCGCGGGCTGTAAAGTGCAGGCTCAGTAGTTGTAGTGTACGGGCTTAGTTGCTCCACCGCATGTACTATTGCCTATGGCAGAATCAGAGCAAACATTAATCTTCCCGGACCAGGGCTCGAACCCGTGTCCCCTGCACTGGCAGGCAGATTCTTAACCACTGTGCCACCAGGGAAGCCCCAGGTGCTACTATTTTTAAGCAAGTTGCTTAACCTCTCTGAGTCTCAGTTTACTTATCTATAAAATGGGATAATAATACCTAATCCTCTGGGCTGAAAAGATAAAGAGAAACCAACCTAGCTCCAAGCCTGGCATGTATATAACGTGTTCAATAAGTATTTCTGAATTAATGAATTTCATTAAAAATAAAGGTGCCACAGAGGTAAATTACTATATATCATTTAATGAAAAATTGCACTGATTGTGTAACCAAATAGCTAAAAGTATAATCACAGGTGTTTTTAACAATTTCCTGATTAATACACAATCAGCAAGGCAACACACATGTGAATGGATCAAGTATATTGACCTTGATGAAACACTGTGTTTGATACAGGAGTGGTCCAGGCAGCTACTCAAGAGACTTAAGCATGGTCATATCTACCACAGCAATAGAGTAGATGAAGGATATTTTCTTATGTTTCTGCATGTCTCAATTAGAAATTCACAAGTGTTATCAGAGACAGTAGTTATTCATCCTTTATAAAAAACAAAATCTAACAGATAATGAATTGTTTATTATTCAGTTTTTACACCTGTGCAGACATAAGCTAAAGGCATTGAACTTGCCACTATTAGAAATAATAACTAACGAATATATGGTGATTTGTGCTTTCTCGTCCTGTCTTTTTCAATCCATACAAAAACCCTACAGAGTCAACACAGAGGGAGAATGGTAGAGTAAATTTTCAATTAGGGAGCTCAAAGCATAAGTCCAGAAACATTCTATTAAATGTTTGGTGCTGAGGCTACATCAGGAAACAAAAAGACAAAAAGCCTACCTTCATGGACTTCACAATCTGGGATTTGTATTGAAATCATGGCTTTTAGATTTATGAATCAAGCCACTAAAGTACATATTCACAATACAGGATGTTGTTAAGAACTACATTAGTGGCCAAGGGATTTGTATGTTCTTTTCGTCCTCAGTTATTGAATGAGGTTTGGAATTTTGTGCAAAGCCTTGGAACATAGTCTGTTGTTATTGTCCACAATTCAACTTCTGTCTGTTGTTTGATTTAGGGGAGATGAATAATGCTAATCCACCAGAATTGTTGCTTCTTCCTGTCTCCCACAGCGCTTCCTTTCTACGGTGCTTAGAGCACTTACTGCTCTCATTCTTGCTCAGAGCTTGCTCATATTCTCACAGCCAGCTCATTATTTGTCTCCCAACCTGTACTGAGCACTGTCTAGAAAAAGTGCCACGTCTCATTAATCTTTGCATGGCTAGCGCCTAGCAGAGTGTTGCCATACAGTTCAGGTGGGATATATGTTTGTTGTATGAATATATTTGTATATACTTTACTGTTTTCAAAGCACATACATGTGCATGGTCTCATCAGACGCTCACAAAACTCAGTGAGATTGCAGGGAAGAATTCGTTCCCTCATTTTACAGAAACTCAGTGAGATTGAAGATCACAAATGCCCTTGTTTGACAGATGAAGAAACTGGGGATCAGTGAGAGATTTGATTTCTGGAAAGCACATAACTAAGACTTGAATTTCCAGATCAGTGTTCTGTCTAAACACTAAATGAAAATATAGGCATGCTGAACTATTATTTTTCGTTTGTCTTTAAGGTCTGTTAGGTGTTTGGCCAATCATTTATGACTTTCCCAAATCACTGGTGAAATCTTGTTTGTTAGTTTTTTTTCAAATGTAAACCATGAGATGGGAAAGTTTTCAGAAACCATCCGTATTGTAATCAGAAGACAATGACATAGATTATATGCAAATATTTTGCTGTAAAACTGTGTCTGTCTTCAGGAGTATATTGCTAGCCAAAACAATTCTGCTCTGTCATAGGGAAGGTGACGGAGGCAGCTTTGTCATTTCCAATCCTGAACCCATAGTCATCACCCTTCTGCTTACACAAGATTTCTATATGCCTCTTAATTTCTTGATCAAAAAAACGAGAGTCCCTACAGTGGCAAGATAGTGAAAGCAGTCTGTTGGGGTGAAGGGGTCACAGCTAATAGTTGAAGGTTCTAGTAACTGAATCTTGATCAACTGACTCTAAAGTCACCCTTTTAAAAACATCATCTCCCATTAGATTACAGGCTACTGGAAGGCAGGCACTGTATTGAATCCCCAGGTCAGGCCATGGCTTAGTTCAATTCCTGTCACATATGTTAATTAATCAGCAAGTGGCAGCTCTGAGGGTCAACCTGGAGGAGCGCTAGGGACATGTTTTTCAAACTTAGTGATAGAAACTTCTTTTTGTGTTTTTAATTGTTTTCTCATTGTGATTTTTAATTTAAAACCATTATTAAGAAGTTTGCTTGTGAAATAAGTTATTTTCTAGGCAATATACTCAGGTCCTTAACGGGGGCCTAGTGATGGAACTCTGGCCTCACGTCAGTCATCTTGTGTACTGTTATAAGTCAACATTCCAAAATAAACTTGAACAGAAATTAACAGCAACTACAGTTAACCCCCAACATTTCTGAACTAGAAGCATTTGCTTTCTAGGGGATGGGATTAAGGGGTTGACAAATTCTCTTAATCCGAAAAAAAATCATCTCTCTGCCTCCCTCCCCTCTATCCCCTCCCTTTCATTCTCCTGCCTTCCCGCAGACGCACGTACACTCTGACCGTTTTGTTTGAGTGGAAAGTTGAAAGAAAGCAACACACTAGCTACACGCATCCAGCGCTCCTTGGGGTGGAAGAGCAAAGTTCTAGGGCAGAGCCTTCCTTGCCAGAGCCGGCGATGCTTTCGCTCTCCGGTACCTGCTCAGCTTCACGCCGCATCTGAAGGTCTGCCCCTCGCGGAACAGTTGCGTCTCCATCTGGCTGCCAGCCCCCCCAAGCCTTCTCTCCTCCACAGCCACCACCGTCCCCCTCCCCCCTCCTTTCCGTCTTCCCTCTCCACCCCGCCCCCAACCTCCTCCTCTTTTTCTCACTACAAGCGGTTGCTGATGCTGAAGCTGAGCGTCACTTCGGCTCCCACGGCAGACATGGCGACATTGACAGTGGTCCAGCCGCTCACTCTGGACAGAGGTAAGGGAGCAGCTCACCCCTCAGGGCACTGCGTGCCCTCTGCCTCCCTCTCTGCCCCCGCCAGCTCCCACCGGGACCGCCAGACGCGGTCGGGCAGGGGGAGCAGGGCAGCGAGGAGGGGCGAAGAAGGCTTTCGCGCTGAGAGCAGGATACTTTCTTCCCCTTTTCTCTGCCCGCCACGTCCCCGCTGCCCCCTTCACGCCTCACTCGCCTGGCACAAGGGTGCCTTCGCCGGGCTCCGGCGTCCCCGCCGCCCCTCCCAGCCCCTCGCCGGATCGCCTCCGGGCCGCCGGCTTTGTTGGAGCGGAGGCGCGGGGATCGCTCGGTGCCCGCCCGGGGCTCGGGGCTGGTGAGGGGCAGGGAGGAAGCTTGCCGAGCCGGGCGAGGGCGCCTGCAGCCGGAGACCGGGGAAGCCTGGCGAGTGAGCCGCTTGCCAGCCTACGCTGCCGGGGGCCTGGGAGGAAGGAAGTTTGTCCCCGCGCCGGGGGGCGAGGGTCGGTCAGGCTGCGGGTGCCCGGGCAGCCGCCCGGGGGCGGACAAGGCGTACCCCGTGTGACCTGTGCCAGGACGCACGGCGGCTGGGCTGCCGCGGCGGGGAGCTGCCCCCGGCCGAAGGGGCAACGCGGAGCGCGGGCAGCCGTGCCGGGGCCGGGGGCGCAGCGTCGCGGCAGCCGTGCCCTGCTCTCCGGGGCTTCGCGCTCTGAAGGCGCCAGGGGTCGCGTCTGCCCCCGCCGCCGGCGGCTCTCCGGCAGTGGCAACTCACAGTTTCTCCTGCCCCAGCCAGCCTCGTCCTCTCCCAGCCCTGTGCCACCGCGGTGCCCGGGCTGCGGAAGGCTCTGGGACGCAGCGCAGGCTGGGTTGAAATTCAACTTCTGACCTCCGACCCTGTGCGTCCTGCTCTCTGACTTGACTGGGGAAGCAATGTTTGCTTCCTTCCCAGGCCCTCCCCAAGCCTAAGGATGGAAACCTCCGCTGCGATCTCGGCCTCTCCGGTGCATCCGTGCGGGGTTATACCTGTCCTTTGCTTGTTCGAGTTTCCTTTCTGGCTTCCGACGTCCAGTTATGAATGCGCTGAGTCTCACGACCCTGCAGCGGAGGACACCTCCTCGTCCTGGTCCGCAGCGGCCGGATTTAGGACCATGGGCGGCCATTTGGAAATGGTGTGCTCAGATGAAGATGATTTAGTCCGATGTGCCTCCAAAAATATTCTTTCTAGCGGATTAAACTGGACTGTGGGGCAAGGCAAAAGAGCATCCTGCTGCGAGTACAGTGTAAAAGCCAGGGCAAACTTAGTGAGGTTTTTAATTTGGAGAGATTGTGGGTGACTTTAACGTAATCTGTTGGCGCCAGAGCGGATGTTATGTGGTGCCCATAGCAACCTTACTTGGGGTAGGAGTTGAAAGATAAAAAAAATAATTGATTTCATGTTGGGAAATGTTGGTTTGCAAGCTAGTAAGTTAATAACAGTAGTTAAAAAGGTCAGAAATCCATTGCATAATCCATGATTTCTCCCCAGGATCATCATCTGCCCTAAGCAGGATAAATCCATTGCCTCTAAAAACCAGACAGATGGCAAGCTATTAGAAACTATGGATTTCCCAAGTATTTCTGTTTTAATGTAATGAGATCTTATATCGTCCCATTCCTAAATCATAGTCTTTAAACATCCCAAGTAAAACGACTACGTTAGGAGAGAAAACGAGCAAGTAAACAAACTCCAAGAAAATTGCATACCTGAGGAATTTTATATACTACTACTACTAAAAACATTTCCCTTGGGGGGGGGGTCTTACTTTAAATGCCTGGATCAGGTGTGGAGAGGAAGTGCAATCAGACTAAGTTCTATTCTTTGTTCTTGTTCACAGCCAGACTGTACCTGTCCTTCCCAGTTGTGATTAGGTTCATGGAATAAGTAGCTCAAGAGACAGTGAATGTATCTGAATAAATTCACCAGCAGCTCACTGAAAGGTCTGTAGTTTACAGATGGTGGGTTACTGGCATCCTTAATGTGCATGAAGCCAATACATATTAATAATCTCCCCTATACATTATTAAAATATAATTAACTCTTTAATTGCATCATTAAATTGATGAAATAAACTGATAAAAATTTTCCTACCAAAAAAAAAAATCTCTTAAAAGAGAGAGCCCAATAATACTTATCTGGATCCTAGCTGTAACTCTGATACTCACTTTGGAGTAGTTGGTTAGCCTCTTTGGGCATCAGTTTTCCTCTATGCACATAAGGAGTTTGGATTAAATGATTCTGTCACTGTGCAGCTTTAACAGTCTAGAATTCAATGAATTAAAACTAGGACTCAGTTTCTGGTCACCTACTGGAAGATTTTGCAGATCACTTCCTCTCCCACCTCTTCCAGGTGTCCTTTGACGTGCTCTGAGGTCACCCACTACTTTGGCGTCATCAAAGCATTTCTCAAACTCTGTTGCATCTGTCTCCTCATTGAAGGGAACTCCTTGAGGGAAGAGACCATTTCTAAATTCATCTTTGTATTCTCAGTGCCTGCCATAGTCCCTGATCACAGTAGATGATCAAAAATTAATGTAAATTAGTGTAAGGGAACTAAGGATTGTAACAACTTAAACGCCGTTAAAATATAAGGGTTTCATAGTGAACAGAGGTACAGCTCATAGATTCACAACATTTTGACCCTGGAAAGAATGGCAGGGAGAACATAGGCCAGTGGTTCTTTTTTTTTTTTTTTTTTTTTTTTTGGGGGGGTGGGTTTCCCACCTGGTGGCCCCCCCC